CAAACATTGTGTCAGAAGGATGAGTAACGGCGCTCATCCTTTTATCCTGGTATTTGCCAACAAAAGAGAAATTCAGCTCTTTGTAACATGCCAAGGTCAATGCTAAATGAACATACATCATTGTGTATGGTTTCTGATAAAACTTGCTTATTAAGAATAAGTGCACTGAGAGAGATGCCAGTCTTTCAATTAACTGTGGAGTTCGATGTAATTACAGGTTTGACAGTAGTTTAAATTACTTTAAGTGCATTGAAGGGTGTGCAAAATGCATAAATCTTCATATATGACAGTAATTAATTCGTTAAGTAACAAAGATAATAGATTAATCAAAGTAATATAATGAAATCATGTTTAATACACCAAAGCAGTAGTTTGAGACCATATTTCCATTTTGAACATATAATACATCTGGCACTTAAAGGGTTAGTTCACCGCAAAATGAAAATTATGCTGTGTTTTACTCACCCCCGAAGCATCCTAGGTGTATATGACTTCCTTCTTTCAGACGAATCCAGTCGGAGTTATATTAAAAATTGTCTTTGATCTTTCAAGCTCTATCATTGTACTCAGCGGGTGTTGCATTCCTTCTGTTCAAAAGACGTGAAATAAAAAGCACCCTTCCACAAAAAAAAGTGTCTCACACGGCTCCGGGGGGTGAACAAAGGCCTCCTGTAGCGAATCGATGCGTTTTTGTAAGAAAAATATCCATATTCAAAACGTAATAATCACTTGAATCTAGCTTGCGCCAACAGTTGTACACAGAAGCAGTTCCGGGAGCATGACCTATGGGGTCAGCGTTACGCATGCGCCGGTGAGTCTCCTGAAAACCAACGTTTGTTTACAGGATCAAAAAAAGCAAAGTTTCCTTACTTTAGCAAAGGAAAACCAGTCTCCTCTTGGCTTATATCGAAATCCTCCGACATTCTTCTTTACAAATACTCGTTTTGTACTTCTAATTAGTGACCGTTGTTTTGTTTTATTCTTAATATTTAAAATGGTAAAAATAACTATCATCTAGCTTGCGCTCACTGTTGTAAAATGGAAGCAGTTCCGGGGGAATTACGTATGAGGTCGGCTTTGCGCATGTGCCGCTCAGAAGTGACGCACGCGGAGAGATCGAAACAAAACAACGGTCACTAATTAGAAGTACAAAACGAGGATTTGTAAAGAAGAATGTCGGAGGATTTCGATATAAGCCAAGAGGAGACTGGTTTTCCTTTGCTAAAGTAAGGAAACTTTGCTTCTTTTGATCCTGTTAACAAACGTTGGTGTTCACGAGACAGCACCGGCGCATGCGCAACGCTGACCCCATACGTCATTCCCCCAGAACTGCTTCTGTGTACAACTGTTGGCGCAAGCTAGATTCAAGTGATTATTACGTTTTGAATATGGATATTTTTCTTACAAAAACGCATCGATTCGCTACAGAAGGCCTTTGTTCACCCCCCGGAGCCGTGTGAGACACTTTTTTTTATGGATGGGCGCATTTTAATTAAGTGCTTTTGGACCGGCTACATAAGGAGCTTAAAATATCATCTTGTTGTGATGTTGGGTGCCAGAATCCACATAATACAGCCTCAAATTAGAAATTTGATCGCATATCTGCTGCCACTACCAGACAAAAAACCGACGACAGCTGTGGTTAAACGCGATAAAACGAGCAGACTGGACAGACACGATCGTCAAAAATGCTCACGTTTGCAGCACACAATTCTTATCAGAAAAGGTTCAATAAAGTACTGTATTTTGTTGTTATGGGCATATAATTACTACAGATTTCTTGCCATATGTCTGATTCTTGCATCTCACGATTATGTAGTGTATGAAATAATGTCTGTGTGCATGTGTATAAAACAACAAACGTGGGACGGTGGGCGGTGCTCGGGGTGGTGACTGAAGGCAGTGACGGTGTAGTTCTGACGTCAACTTTTTACGGAAGTCACAACAGTTCTTGAAAAATAGCTAGAACTTTAAGCAGGCTGTGTGCTTTTTACTGTGGACTGACTGTTTTGAAACTTATATGGTAGTTAAATAGCCCCTAGACCTCAGTAATCGTGAAAAAAAGCCAGGAAATTTCAGTTTTGACAATATGGGACCTTTAATGTCTTCCTCCGCTGCATGGCTCCCGGAGAGCTTATTTTAAAAACACTGAAAGCATTAACACAGCCTTCTCTTATGCTTGACTGTAGTCATGGTGACCAACAGAGATAGACGCAGCATTTTATCTTTTTTATTAGTCAAACTGTATGACATAGAAGGAAAATAAGTTGACTTACTCGCCCCTGCAGAGCAGATGTGGCATCCAAACAGAGACAGAACGAGGCTCATAAATGTGACTAGGTGAATCATATCTTCCTTAAGAGTTAATCCAGATGTGCGACGCCGATTTCCACGGAAAAGTAACCTGAACTAAACATTCCTCCAGCTATTACATGATTATCAAGAACGCATGTTTGCAACACGTATACATTGTGATCACGAAGATGATAAACAATCTAAGCCAGCATCATCCTCAGCATCCTCGCAGTCTGATGTCCAATGCGCCTCAATCTGTTGCCATCCGAATCCGCAAAGAGCGAGGAAAACGCTTCCTTTCGCGGTGACCTTTAGTGATTTGAGAGCTACAGAAAGCACACTTTTGACGTCCTTTCATCGATACTACAAAGGAACGTCAGCCTCGCCACCAGTTACATCCGCTCGCCGCGCGTCTAATGTAACGCGTAAACGCATGGCGTCCATCGCATAGCTCGCGCTCGCCTTCCTCACTTTATGCGCTCGTGTACGCTTTAAGAATACCAATCAATCAGCGGCGCTGCATCGCGGGCACATGACCCACAGGTGGCCAGTTACTGATTGATTCTCAGCAGTCACTCATTCACCTTCTATTGCCACATGACGCACGAACCTGCACCGGCATGAATGCGGAGCAGCCGCCACCTCTCCAAAAACACCCTCACCAGCTCTGCTGGACGCGATTAATGGCGCCATTCAAACTTGCACACCGATAGTCCACTGCAAACATCATGAGAGACATAGGAATAGAACAGAACAGAACTGTGGGAAGAATGGAATAAAATAAATCACACATCAGAACACATATCTATGAACAGTATAGAGTAGTCTTTAATTTATATAGTGTACTGCTATAATGTTCAAAATACTTTAGAGTTTCACATTAGACAAGATGTGTGAATATAGTGTAATTACATACAACAGAATATAATTTGTTACTTAAAGGAATACTAAATATTATATTAAGAATACATGTTATTTCAGATAGAACGTTGAATACACTCAAAAGAATATAATAGAATTATTATTGAATAGAATAATAGAACTCTTGCATATAATAGAATATTTTGAATAATTAATAACTAGATAAAACAGACAAGGCTGATTCACTCTGCTGGGAAATTATGCAAATGAATTGAAATTTTCATTCTTCTCTTTAAGGCATAAGTGTAACTCATTTGGTCAAAATTAGTGACAATCCAATGTAACAAACTATATATTTTAGATTAACTGTCATAGAATAGTCTACTGGGATATTAATATTATGTTAAGAATACACAAGAATTTCGGATAAAATGGAATACAACCCAAAATGTTAATAAAAATCTAAGAATAATATGAATAAAATAATTAGATAAAAAGCTATTTGAAATAAAAATAAATAAATAATGCTAATATACACAGTACAGAATATATCATAATAGAATGAAACAGAACAGAACAGAATATGTCTTTGACTGCTGATCATACCATAGTAGAATACTGATATAACATAATAGAATAAGATAGAGTAGAATAGAACACTGATTTGACTACTGATCATACCATAAAAGAATGCCAATATAACATAACAGAATAGAGTAGAAATATAATAGAATACTGCTTTGACTACTGTTCATACCATAATAGAATACTGATATAGCATAACAGAATAGAATATGATTATACCATAATAGAATATTGATATAACAGAATAGAGTAGAATAAAACAGAACAGAATACTTATATTATAACAATACTGATATGAAAAAATAGAATAGAGTAGAACAGAATACCGTTTTTACTACTGTTCATACCATAATAGAATAGAATACTGTTTTGATTGCAGATTATACCATGGGACAGAATAGAATGCAATAGAATAGAATACTGTTTTGACTACAGATTATACCATAGAATAGAACAGAATAGAATAGGATACTGCTTTGAATACTGATCATAATAGAATACTGATATACCATAATAAAAAAATAGAATAGAATATGGCTTTGACAAATGATCATAACAGAATACTGATATACCATAATAGAATAGAATACTGCTTTACAATTATAGAACAGAATAGAGTAGAAAATAATAGAATACTGTTTTTACTACTGTTCATACCATAATAGAATAGAATACTGTTTTGATTGCAGATTATACCATGGGACAGAATAGAATGCAATAGAATAGAATACTGTTTTGACTACAGATTATACCATAGAATAGAACAGAATAGAATAGGATACTGCTTTGAATACTGATCATAATAGAATACTGATATACCATAATAAAAAAATAGAATAGAATATGGCTTTGACAAATGATCATAACAGAATACTGATATACCATAATAGAATATAATACTGCTTTACAATTATAGAACAGAATAGAATAGAGTAGAATATAATAGATTACTGCTTTGACTACTGATCATACCAGAATACAATAGAATACTGTGTTGACTACAGATTATACCATAGAAAAGAATAGAATACTGCTTTGACTAGTCATCATAGTAGAATACTGATATACCATAATAGAATAGAGTAGAATAGAGTAGAACACTGCTTTAACTACTGATCCATATGTCCTGGCAAATATAGTTGTAATATAAACCAAACATTCTACTGTGTGTCCATATGCATTTTTAAGAGGGGAATCTTTTTTTTACAGTTGACGGGTCAAAGTTCATTTGGTGAACTTTGTTTGCTCACTTTGTGCTTAGTGAGGGCTTTCTCTCTCTCAAGCGATCTCAGTGCATGTTATTTTCATGCATGTTTACCGTGCATTGCACTAATCAGAGTATGTGTTGAAATGCTGTAGTCTGATGAACATGGATGACTTGAAGGTGAGTGAAAACTGAACACAGTTAACTGGCTGTGCTTTCATTTCAAATGTCCTGTAGCTGTTAATAGACCAACCAATCTTCTTCCTCTGTAAGCTAAAATGTAATTACAGGAGCTCTCGAGTGATGCTGTTAATCTTAAGTGCTCGGTCTTTTGTCTAACGTAGCAGTCGTGTCACGAGCTCTCTCTACCCGTCACGGAGAAATGCAACCCCATCAGCAGAGATATTGATAGAGTGAATGGCAAACAGATGGTGCAAATACTGAGAAGATGTGACGCCGAGATTTTTGAGAAGAAAAATCATGATCCACTTCATCAGGTTTGGCCTGTTAGTTTCAGACAGTATATGTGAGAAATAATTGTACTTTAGGTCATTATGCTCCTAACAAGAGTTTTCCATTTAAAGCTGCCCTGTGCATTTTGTTTATAGAGACTATATAGTTCACCTGTCATCCAAACGATGGTGGATGTTGCAAAGAGAGTGGAAATGATGCTGAGGGTCAGTAATATGAACTAGAAGTCCTTTAATTTAATGAACAACTCAGAAATAATAGTTTAAGTTTAGGCACATTTTAATTTAAATACAGAATTTTGTTATATATATATATATATATATATACACTATTGAAACACTATATGAATATGAATATATATATAATTAATTATTTTATTATTTAGTGATTATTTAATTTAATGATTAATGATTAATTTAATGATTATATATATATAATTTAGAATCATAAGTATTTTTTAGTAAAAAATAAATAAATTAATTTATTAAAATTTATTTTAATTCATTTTTATAAATGTTCTTGAAAAATGTCAAAATGTTAAAAACATCATAATTGTTTCTGCAGGACCCAGAGGAGAGTTTGATTGTATTAAGTGGCTGTGGAACATCAGGCCGTATTGCATTTCTTTTGGTGGTATAGAGTTTAAGAAAGATTTAATAATTAATTAATTATAATAAATAAATAATAGCAGTTTGAATTTTTTTAAAAATTTAAATGAGAAACTACTGAATATTTACAGTATATTTATCTGTTCTCCCCCACTGTGTTCTTCATGACTGTTAAATTTCTTCTTTAAATTTGTCATTCATACTTCAGACATCCTTTAATGAGATGTTGAAAGCCCAAAAACAGAAACAGATCTGTTCGTACATCATAGCTGGAGGTGACAGGTGAATAAACAGTCTGTCTGTTTGATGCATAAGATGAGACTCCAGTGTGACACTGCAGTATTTCAGGACTCTGTTTTTAAAGGGCCCTGCTGACATCACAGGAGGCTCCAGAGGACGACACGGCGCTGGGAGCTCGCACACTGGACAAGGTGAATGCAAGAACAAAGAGTTCACCATCCTAAGCAGAGACAACAGGCTATTCTTTGACATTTTCAGAAGAACATGTGAACGGCACCTGTGCTCAACACCACAGTACCAGAGAGTTCTGGGCGGTTGACAGGTTGCTGCTCTGTGATTACTAAAGTGTTCCAAATGTTTTTTGTTTTTTAACACATGGCTATGTGCTTGCTAGGTTGCTGCTTATAGGCCCAAGTCAATATTTCTCACCCCATGTCTCATCCATTTCCACCTATTTTATCATTTGAAAATCAAGTCTAATCAATTAGAAAAATAAGTGAGCTAAAGAACCTTTAGAAATTTAGATATTTGAGTAACGATATTAATAATGTTGCTTTCTTTACCAAAAACACTATCTAAAGAACATTCATAGAGCTTGACTTATTTTAAACATATTTTTCTTTTTCCACTAACAGATTTGTGCAGGAAAGAAGCATGTCCTGTTCATTGGAATATCCTGTGGCATGTCGGTATGAATGATACTATTGTTTTTTTTTTCAAATCACATTATTCAATCAATAGAAATTTTAAATAAACTCTTCTCATTTGTAGATTCATTTAGTGAATTTTAACTAAACAGCCAATAGTTCTGGGTTAAGTCTGTATTTAGGGTGACTAGACGTCCGGAGAGTTTGATTGTATTAAGTGGCTGTGGAACATCAGGCCGTATTGCATTTCTTTTGGTGGTATAGAGTTTAAGAAAGATTTAATAATTAATTAATTATAATAAATAAATAATAGCAGTTTGAATTTTTTAAAAATTTAAATGAGAAACTACTGAATATTTACAGTATATTTATCTGTTCTCCCCCACTGTGTTCTTCATGACTGTTAAATTTCTTCTTTAAATTTGTCATTCATACTTCAGACATCCTTTAATGAGATGTTGAAAGCCCAAAAACAGAAACAGATCTGTTCGTACATCATAGCTGGAGGTGACAGGTGAATAAACAGTCTGTCTGTTTGATGCATAAGATGAGACTCCAGTGTGACACTGCAGTATTTCAGGACTCTGTTTTTAAAGGGCCCTGCTGACATCACAGGAGGCTCCAGAGGACGACACGGCGCTGGGAGCTCGCACACTGGACAAGGTGAATGCAAGAACATTTTTTTTCAAATCACATTATTCAATCAATAGCAAAGGACAAAAGTCGTGACAATAGAAATTTTAAATAAACTCTTCTCATTTGTAGATTCATTTAGTGAATTTGAACTAAACATCCAATAGATCTGGGTTAAGTCTGTATTTAGGGTGACTAGACGTCCCAGTTTTCCAAGAACAGTCCTGGTTTTTCACATTCAAAACTTCACATTTGACATTCAAAATTTCAAATTTCACATACAAAAAAAAAATAAATTGGACCAACAAAGCCTCCAAAAGCAAAAACACATATAAAATAACATTAAAAAAGAAAATTAACAATTTGAATTAATGCAGTATAGTCAGTTTGTGAAAATGAAAATATTAAATACAATTAGAAAATGTTACAAATATTTGTTCAATTAAAAATAAATTTAAAAAAATTAAATACAAATGTTAACATTTTATTTCTAAGTTCTCATTTTTAATTTTAGTTACTAAAGTGTTCCAAATGTTTTTTGTTTTTTTTAACACATGGCTATGTGCTTGCTAGGTTGCTGCATATAGGCCCAAGTTAATATTTCTCACCCCATGTCTCATCCATTTCCACCTATTTTATCATTTGAAAATCAAGTCTAATCAATTAGAAAAATAAGTGAGCTAAAGAACCTTTAGAAATTTAGATATTTGAGTAACGATATTAATAATGTTGCTTTCTTTACCAAAAACACTATCTAAAGAACATTCATAGAGCTTGACTTATTTTAAACATATTTTTCTTTTTCCACTAACAGATTTGTGCAGGAAAGAAGCATGTCCTGTTCATTGGAATATCCTGTGGCATGTCGGTATGAATGATACTATTGTTTTTTTTTTCAAATCACATTATTCAATCAATAGAAATTTTAAATAAACTCTTCTCATTTGTAGATTCATTTAGTGAATTTTAACTAAACAGCCAATAGTTCTGGGTTAAGTCTGTATTTAGGGTGACTAGACGTCCCAGTTTTCCAAGAACAGTCCTAGTTTTTCACATTCAAAACTTCACATTTTACATTCAAAATTTCAAATTTCACATACAAAAAAAAAATAAATTGGACCAACAAAGCCTCCAAAAGCAAAAACACATATAAAATAACATTAAAAAAGAAAATTAACAATTTGAATTAATGCAGTATAGTCAGTTTGTGAAAATGAAAATATTAAATACAATTAGAAAATGTTACAAATATTTGTTCAATTAAAAATAAATTTAAAAAAATTAAATACAAATGTTAACATTTTATTTCTAAGTTCTCATTTTTAATTTTAGTTTTGCTATAAATCATTTTGTTATAATATAATACTATGTTGATCTGTTTCCTATTTGCAATGTCTACTGTTTACTATTTTTCATAATATGATATTCGATTAATTCTATTAAAACCAGTTAGGGCCAGTTTAAACCTACAAACACAATAATACAAAAAACAAAAACATACAATATTGTATTGTCCCCATTTTTTACTTCATAAATAATAACAAATGTGATTTAAATGATATTTTGACCACTGAAAATAGCCTCAAAAGCTGTTACTGGGGTGGTACCCTTTCAAAAGGTACTAATATGTACATTTAAGGTACAAATATGAAGGTACATTGAAGGTACTAAAAGGCACCATAAGGTACAAAAGTGTACCCTTTTGAAAGGGTACTACCCCAGTGACAGCTTTTTTAACTTTTTGAGTGTACGGTAGGAAATGTCTGCCGTTTTTATTTGATTTCTTTCAGACGTACAGTATGTAGGTAACATTAACGTGAGCCTTTATCAAAGCCGTCTGTGAATGCGCTTCATGATGTTGTTCTGTGTCAAAGGCACCGTTTGTTGCTGGGCAACTGGATTTTTGTCTGAAGCACTTAGACGTCTTTACTCCAGTGCTTCTGGGATTCAATCCTGTACATATGGCGAGGTAGACCTACTGAGTGCATACAATGCCTTTCTGCATATTACAAGCTCTCATATTTGCATATCATATTTGAAGTGAACAGTAACAACAGTAGATGGTGACATTCTTGCCCTCCTGACAGGAGTGAACCAATGCAGGACTGTTCCTTTCACTTTAAAGACATTGCAGAGATGATGGCTGCAGAGCAGAGACATAAGAAAGCATTTGTCCTAAATCCTGTATTGGGGGTATGATACATTGCATAGACATAAACACATCTGTGCACATGCAACACACTACCAACCGCTCTGAACACCTTAGTAAGCACCCTTGTAACCACTGGCAAGTACCCAGGACACTCTAGAAAAATGAGTTTTCTTACTAATGTTTAAGGAGTATCCAGCCATCATAAGCAGTAATGATGCTGTTTTGCACTTCTGGCCTCTACTCATAGGCTGAGGCCATCAGCGGATCGTCCCGGATGAAAGGAGGCAGTGCAACTAAAATCATTCTGGAATCTATTCTTCTGGCCGGACATGAAGCTACATTTAGAGGAAAGAGAATGACACCTGAGTACGTTTTAATTCCAGTTATATATATATATATAAATAATGTGTGTATATCAGTCTGTGTAATCTAAATATGTATACATATTTCTGTAGTATGTTATAATTGAATACTAAAGCTACCTGAAAAGCTGAAAGCACACTTTGCTTTATTTGTATTGTTACAAACTGTTGTTTGTAATTTACACCTTTGTTCTTATTTTTATAAAAAAAAAAAAGTTGTAAATAATAATAAATTGTGATATCCTTATTATAAAAATAACATTGCAAAAACCACAGTTCTCTTAAGAGTAATCTACTATGATTAAATGTGTCATTCAGATGCATTTCTGCCTGGATCACAGCGAGTGAGATGGTTCATGAAACTACTTACTCACACAGTGATGAGCTTGCAACGCTTATTCATCAAGCAGGAGAGAGGTACAACATTGCACTACTTTAGTGTCTCCCAACACATAAACCTGAGTTTTCCCACATGAACAGGCTGAACTTCTGGTGCATGTGGTAAAAGAAAAATGCAGAAATAGTCTTTGTAGTCAAGGTTTTGTCATAATCAAAGGCACACTTATGATTTCTTTTTTGTAAATCTTTCATCAGCCTTCAGATGAATGCGCATGTGTACTATATTGGATGGCAAACTCTGGGCATTATAGGACTGACTGATGCCAGCGAATGCATCCCAACATATGGAGCAGGTGCTGTATGCAGTGCCAAATATTATTTTACCATTTGATATGTTCTTTAAACAGTCTGTTAATAGGTAAATAACAGTGCAAGAATAAATTTATGAGAAATGTTTAAACCCAGAACCACCTTTTAATTGTCATTATTTTTATCAGATTTTGATGACATCAGAGGTTTTATCAACAATGGTTTCAGAGAAATGAAAAACAAAGAGGGAGAATCTTATCATCATTTACTCATTCTCATACTATTCTAATGAATTAAATATTTTTGCATCTGCAAAACTATCACTTTAAAGGTAGCAATTGGAATAATCTAAGGCCATATTTACCTGAATATTTTTTATTACAACATTTATTAATAACTATTAATATAAAAACAACCATTTCTAGGGGCCAGAATTCATAATTGGTCACAAAGATTTTGTGGAGACCATCTTACCGAGTCTGAGTCAAAATGACATGATGCTGTTTCTGTTTGCAGTGAATGGTGAGCAAACACGAATTAGTTGCATATAACAGTATGGTCAGTTCCTTGAATATATTTTAAATATATTTGAATGTCTCTCCTAAGATGACCTGCATGAGGTGACGGCACTGGCTGATCAAGTGAGGCGAAGGACATCTAATTTGCATGCAATTGCTCATGACCTTGAGAAATTCACCATTCCTGTGAGTAAAAATGAGTAACCAGGATCTTTGCCGCTAGCAAAAACTCTCACTTCTTAATAAAATTCCCTTGCAGTACATGTCTTATAAGTGCATAATGCTGCTTATGTGATCATTCTTGCATGGACTTTGCAGATTAAAAGAGAGCAAATATCTTATATATTATTTTAAATAAATTTTATATCTATATATTGCTTCAGGAAACAGTATGCAACATGTTTGGAACCGTTCTGCACATCACATGGTCTTTTTCTTCAGAGGAGGTGAACTCAGTTGTAATGGTAAGCCATTTGTCACATGAATCCCCACAAGTACCAATTTAGTTGAAGTATTTATACTGTAACATCTATATATATATATATGTATATATACAATATATACATGCTGTAAGAATAATAAAATAAATACTTCAAAGAGTCTTTTTTCAACAGAGACAGCGCTGGGAGCTTTCAACTAAATGGTGTCTTAATGCAATCAGCACTGGAGCTCATGTACTGAAGGGAAAAGTCTATATGAATGACATGATAGACCTCAGAGTAACTAACAGCAAGCTGTACAGGAGAGCCATCAACATTTTACAGGTACATACATACTGTTAGAATCAAATTAAACCCCAAGTTAGATTAGACCTCATAAATGCCAAACAACAACCTGTTTTTGATCTCTTATAGAAACTATACAGTGGAGATCAAAATTAGAGAACAATCTATAAACACTTGATTTTTTTCTGAAATATTGTTAATCTTCATCTGTCAAAATTTGAAGGAATATTAGCTGTGGGGTATACCACTGTTCTACTAACATGTTTGACAAAATAACCAATTAAGAATCTTTATTTTTAAGAGCGTAGCATTATAGCTAGAGTTTTGGATGGCCAAACCACTCGTATTTTCTTCAGAAAGTATAAAAATATAGTTTGAATTTTAAAGAAATATTACCGGTATATCTGGCTATTTTTAACTTTCAGTTTTGAAAACTAATTGAGCTGAAACTGTAATACAACCCCTGTGTGTGGTTTCGTATGGTGGGTTTAATTATATACCATCACTGTCAGCGGTTCACAGGCTGCTCCAAAAGCGAGTGTGAAAGAGCTCTACTGAGAGCCATCTACAGTACAGATGACCTGAGTGAAGACATGACATCAGCAGATGTGTGGAAACACACAGATGCGGCTAACAGACGAGATCGAGTAAGAACTCGCTTATTTATCTTCAGTATTAAAGATTACCTAATACTTATTTTTAAAAGAATATTTACACTAACAAAGAATAGTAGGTAACACATTAGTTAACATTATTTAACGCCTTAACTAATATTAAAGGGATATTTAACCCAAAAAATGTTCATTAGATTTGGAGAAATGTAGCATTGCATAACTTGCTAACCAATGGATCCTCTGCAGTGAATGGGTGCCGTCAGAATGAGAGTCCAAACAGCTGATAAAAACATCACAATAATCCACACCACTCCAGTCCATCAATGAATGTCTTGTGAAATGAAAAGCTGTGTGTTTGTAAGAAACAAATCCATCACTGGATGAGAAAGCAATAATTTCGACTCTCATTTTAGCCGGAAGGAATGGTTTAAAGTTAAAACGTCTTAATGATGGATTTATTTCTTACAAACAGACAGCTTTTCATTTCACAAGACATTCATTGATGGACTGGACTGGTGTGGATTACTTGTGGATTATTGTGATGTTTTTATCAGCTGTTTGGACTCTCATTCTGACGGCATTTTTGGGTGAACCTTACCTTTAACTATTATACACTTTAATAAAAGCATAGCGTTATTTTCAAAGGCAGGTTTAACTGTGATACCTGATATGTTCTGCACTGGCAGGTGGTCCCGACTGCACTGGTGATGATGCAGTGTGGCTGCACTCTCGCTGAAGCACGGCATCATTTGGATTGTCATCCTGTGATTCGAGATGCAGTGAGCGCCTGCTTCAATTCTTCCAAGACCAAAAGTACTATGGACTAAACAACAAAATAATGCATTCTCACAATGAAGGGGCATTTTTATGATAATGTGTTTGAGGCTGTGTTGCTTGGCTACTTATCAGTGACTACAAATTGTTATACTCTGTATGCATGCTGTGGCCTTTTGTTTTTGTTGAAATAAACCCAACTGGATGACATCAGGGGAATTCTGATCATTTTTTCGCAAAATACTTCCTTGGCCTACTAACAGTAACTAGTAGGAACCTGTCTGGCTGCAGTGAGCTGGTAAAGTAAGTTAGTCATGCCATTATGCCATCATTCTGCTGGAGTGCACAAGGCATGAGCAGACATGACTGGTAAACATGGGAAATTCTATGTGCACTTGTAAACGTTGCTGCCCGTGTTGCCCACCGAAGAACGAAGAGCAGTCCCTGAGCCGCAAAAGAGTCTTCAAGTCGATCTACGACTATCCCTCACGCACAATATGGGATCTAAATCTGAAGAAAGGAGATATTCTGGAGGTGACAGGAGAGACTGAGTACTGGTTGTATGTGAGGAGACGCACAGCTAAGGCTAACGGATCTAAGGGCTTTGTGGAGGAAAAGGGATATGTGCCTAAAGACTTCATCAAACCACTGGATAGCGTAGAGTCCGAGCCGTAAGTTACTTTTGATCATTTTGAGCTTGTGTGAATGCATAATATATAGAGCAATCTCATGCTTAGTGTTTTGAATCTCTGCCCTGAATGAAACTGGAATCCTGTGTTTCCAGTTTCACAAGTTCTGGTGAAGTTGCTACAGTGCGGTCACTACCCAGTTTGTGTTTTTCTGTAGAAATGACTCTTGGAAATGATTATAGAGTTGGGGTTTGTACATTATTGACAGGAAGCTGAGATATAACAGTGTGAATCTTGTGAAAACTATCAAGAGACAAGTATAAGATATTAAATTCATTTAAAAAATCTTAAATTCAAACACTTATTACACAAATTACAAAACATAAATAAATAAATAATTAAATAGTCCATTAAATTTGCTATATATATATATATATATATATATAAATAAATATATATACAATAAAAGGCCACTCTAAAATGTGCAGTTTTATCACACAGCACTTTAATTTGTTGGGGTGAAATATGACCCAAACTTTTTTTTTCTGTCAGATGAACTCATTAAATTGTTACTTTACTGTCTATAATAAAATTAGCATAAATATTACAATGACGTACGTTTACAATATACTTTGCAAATGTACAAATTTAATAATAAATAAATGTGTTAATAAATAAAATACATATATATTTTTTTATTAAATTATTTTTAA